GGAAGGAGAGGTTAAGTGATTTGCCCAGAGTTACAAAGATATGGGACTTGAACCCAGGTCTTCCTGACTCCAAGCTCGCTGTTTGCCAACAATGTCACACTGTATCTCATTTAATAAAAAAAAAATTCCCATTTAACAGAAGAGAACCCTGAAGCTAAGAAAAATTGTCATTTGTTCAGTATCACACAGTTTGCTAACAGTAGGGTAGATTTAGAAACCTGTATCTTGGCTAATAGACCAGAATTTTATTTCTTTTTTTTTTTCTTTCCCATTGAACTTCCCCAACTAGAACTGATTTTACCTTCATCTGATTTTATATCACTTTATACTTCACTTATGCACTTATATTGTCATTGGTACTATATGCACCTGTCTACATTATCTTATCTCCTCTTACTACTGGAAACTATAAAATCCCTCATCTGGATTACAGTGTGTTAGCCTTGTAGCTCCCATAGCAGGCCTGTCATTGAGCTTGTATTACTTGACAAGTATTTGTTGAATGAATTAGCGATCACACAACAAATCATTACATTTTTTCCCCCTCTTTAATGAATTGTTATATATATTAATTGATGGAGTGGTTGGAAGCACTGGGTAGAGTTCTGCCAGATGGTTGACTGTGAAGGAGAAGAAAGATGTGATTATAGCTGTATGGAAAAGAATCAAGGTATCTTTATTTTTTTTTAATTCTATTTTATTTTAGAACTAGAGTGATTTGAACATGTTTCTAAGCCTATAGGAAAGAGAGAGTGGGAGATATATTAAAGACACATGAGAGAAAGAAGGTCATGTTCTGTAAAACCTAGGTGGTTAATAAACATTTGTCCTGTATACATTTTAATTCAAGCTCTAACATTCTTTGCTCAAGTCATTTCAGAAAGACAGGTATTTGCTACGTTTCATGCATAGAAATTCTAGACGCATCTTAGAAATGAATTCTAATGTCTCGGAGTCTTTGCTGTCATTTTGACCAGATAAAGATTAGAGATTAGACTGACACACGAACAACAAGGTAACAAATACACACAAAAAACAAACATAACAAATCCTGGAGGGCCAATAAAGATTAGAAGGGGGGAAATGGAGGGATTAAGAGCACAACCCCTGATGCACAAAATTGTCAGGTTGTATGAATGTAAGCAGTGGATAGGATGCCTGCCTTTAAGGAAGCAGACTTGAAGAAGAAAATAGTGGCTAAGAAGAGAATCTTTTATAGGAAAAAAGATGATTTCTTTGTCAAGGGAAAATATAGAGTTGGAATCTGCTGGAAATAATGTATAAGTAAAGACTTATCAAGCCATTAGTTGCATCTGGATCAAGTTCAATAGTCAGGTAACCCTTTCTCATCTCCAAGTTACATCACAGACCTCTTTAGTCTTCCCATCATTCCTTGAGATTCTAGCCTCAGAGTGACTTTTATATATGGTTCCTAAGTATAGGAAGACAATTCCTAAAACTCCTACCTGTATTGTGTTGCACTAGTTGTTTCATCACTCTCTATCATTAAGGTTGTCAATATGTGCACAATCCTTCTTCTTCCCTTCCACCAATAAACAAAGTAGATAATACTGTAGAAGCAACAGTGGCACAATTCCTTCGTATATTACTTTACCCTCAGTGAGAAAGGCAGGATTAGGAATAGCAAATGAAAACAATTCCTTGAAAGTTAATTCCTTTCCCAAAAATTTCCTTGGATGAAAAAGCTTGTGAACTCTTATAGAAAAGCATGCTTTCTCCCTCATTTTGTGGGAGAGATGGAGAACTATGGGCATGTAATGTTGCATACACTTTTAGGCACAGGCTATAAGCTTTTGGGGTTGTTGTTGTTTGTGGGGGGGGTTTTCCTGTTACAAGGGAAGGCTCACTGGATGAGGTGATAGGGGCCTTTTCTGCAAATAATGATGATATGAAAATTAAAAGCATCCATAAAAGTTTAAGTAAAAAAGATTATGCCATTCATGGCCTTCCACGCCATCTGTTTTTTCAATGAAGATCAAGAAATATAAAAAAACACCTCATATTCTTAAATATGAAATTCATATTTATAACTTAATATTACTTTGCAGTTTCTGGCAAACTTCAGATCACTGCAGAAAGGACAGAAAGAAGATAAAGATTAAGGAATTGAAACAATTTCTTACTTCAACAAACCACTTTTCCTCATATACCTCAAAAATGAGAAAAAGATATATGTTTTGAAAGTATCATGCTTAACAATTCAGGGAACTGCAAAGTATTTACTCCTTGTAATGTAGGCTAAATAATCTCTACTTCATATTCCCCATCAGTTATATTTAGTTATACCATTTTAAAAAATTGTTGTACTGTTTTTCTGATATCAAACTGTTAGTGTTAAAGGATCTACATAATTTGATGGGAGAATTTCTATTTCCAAGCTCTTAGTACATAAATGTCAGATACAAATTCAATTGTCAGCAAGCTGTGTCAGAATAGAATTCTCCTCTTTGGTCACTGAGCCGAGATTTATTGCTGTTCCACATAAACACAACATCATGATGGATATTGGTTATGGTGTGATTTCAGTATTTTGTTGTTCGCTGACCCAAGCCTAAATTAAAGTAGAAAAATCAAGAGAGACTTCAATATATCGTGTTTTGTGAATTTTAACACAGAATTATTGTCTTTTCAATAATTATCATCTAAATGGCAGGAGTATTATGTATGTGTGTGTGTGTGTGTGTGTGTGTGTGTATATATATATATTTTTTTTTTTCAAAAGTGGGTTGTACATCTGAATGCTTCACAAGTGAAAATAAACACCTGGGAAACTGAGGATTCTCATCAAAGGCAGCTTGTTGGTCACTGAGTCAATCTGCAGTGTAAAATCATCAGATAGTTTTTTGAAACTCTAGCACTTAATAGCCCCCATGCATCTTAATTAGGAGTCAAAAGTGAAGACATGACCACCAGGTCTGTGAGAGCAGAATCTTTTTGCTCATATATCACCTCCCTCCAACATGCCTTGTAGAAGTCCACACACATAGTAGGTACTCCACAAATATTTGCTGAATGAATTCTCTATTGACTAGAACATTTGAAACAGAAATCTAAATTTGGATCCCTGAAGTCCCTTTCAAAATTATAGTCTTATAGTTTTGGCCAAGTCATTTAATCTCTGCTTTCAAAATTAATCATCTTTAGGAAGGGAGATCATTATGACATACCTCTACTGATAAGAGAAAAGATGAATTAATGTTTTTGAAGTACAGAAAAAAAGGTGCTATATAAGTTAATTAGGTAATTTCAGATAGTATGAATTGAATACTCTATGATATAGTTGCTATGGTGGACCTTTGGTCCACAGTATTTATTATCTGTTTATCTTTTCACATTGTGTGATCTCCTTATATAAAGGCATTATTTTCCTTTATCACTTTCACCATCACTTCCTTCCCTATTTCCCAGAGAAGAAGGAAGAAATTTTAGTGTCAATAGCTACTAATAATCCTCTTTTGAAATCCTAAAGTTTTAGGAATGCCATAAGAAAAGGAGCATTTTTCATAAAGATCACAAATCAGTCAAATTGACTTTCTCTCTTGGTTGGATGGAATTTAAGCTTCTTAGTTTTAACAGTGTGATTAGGCACCAGTCTATGGAAATCTATTTTTCCCTGACAGAATAATAGAGAAACAGTTAGAATTCATGCAAGTGATTTCACCTCAAGCTTATCTTTGAGAGTATATCATTGGATCTATCATTTTTCTTCTGACGAAACCAATTGTACTGACCACTATATTGTTGGAAAGCATAAAAAGCTGTCAGTCAATGTGAATGACTATGCCTTGTCCTAATTTGTTCTATAAGGTGACCAAAATAATTGATTCAACTGCAGCAATCTGACTTCTTTAAACAAAAAAAGCTAACTGCATGTAAATTTACATATTTATTGCATGAAGTCCATAGATTCACTATTGAAATGTTTTGTGAACTTAAATAGTAATACTTTCAATTTAAAAAAAATATTGAATACTGGCTAATTATAATGACCAAGTCTAGCCCCAAAGAAGAGACAAGAAAATGCACCTCAGTCCCTTCACTGGAGAGATGGAAAATTTGGTATGAACATTGACGTACTGTCAGATTTAGTTGATGTGTTGGTTAGTTGAAGAATATCCACTATACAGAGGCATAATGGAGAGAGCATTGGAAGTCCTTAGTTCAAATTCAGTCCATGTGACTCTGAGCAAGTTATTTAACCTCTTTATACCTCAGTTTCCTCATCTGTAAAATTTGTGTAATAATAGCATCTACTTCCCAGGGTCATTGTGAGGACCAAAAATATTGTGCAAATCTCAACACACTATATGATTGATAGATATAACACATATTTTGCAGAAATTTTGTCCTTTTATTTTTATTCAGTCTTATTAGGGATGGATTTCTGGATAGGGGAGGAAGGAAGGACATATTTGGAAATGGAAGTGATTATGAAAACAAAAATTGTTAAAGTTTTATAGGACCACAATCACAGGTAATAATAGCAATAATAATAATATTATATAAAATCTAGCTTTTATATAGCACTTTAAAGTTATACACACACACACACACACACACACACACAGAGTTATCCCTTCCACATCATGACTTTCCCCACCACAGTTTTGATATATCACAAGTTGTCATAAGAAATTAAATAAGAATTTTTCAGCAGTTTTACAGAAGCTACAGATGACACATGAAGGCCAGCAGACGAGACAAAAAAGTTCAGAAACTCAGAAATGCATAAGACATATGTATGGTATTGTATAATATCAACACCCCATAAAAGAAAAAAAAATCGGACTTCTTCTCTGGTATGCAGTGAGGGCCAAAAAATGTTATGGGATATTCCAAATCTCAGGGGCACCATATCCCTAAAACCCACAGTGTGGAAGGGATAAATATACATTTTTTCTTCTGTCAAAATTGTGTCCTTTTTTTTATGGAATATTTGGGATTTAAAATAAAATTAATTTCCATTCTTTGTTTTGCAGCTGTTGTTAGTGCCATCCCAGTGCCAACGCTAGAAAGTGCCCAGTACCCAGGAATCTTGCCATCTCCAACATGTGGATACCCCCATCCCCAGTTCACTCTCCGCCCTGTGCCATTCCCAACACTTGCTGTTGATCGAGGCTTCGGAACAGGAAGAAGTCAGTGTAATGTATTTTTGTTTCTTTCTACGTGAGCTTTCTGCTAACTCTGGCAGTGTCAAAGGGGAGTTAGTCTGCTTTCTTAGTCCTAGGAAAGTTCTCTTTGCATCTTAAGAACATCAGAATTTATACCACTAACTCATTCATCCTCTAGATCCTGCTTAAATATTTATGGAATATTCCAATGGGAGTCTTTGAAAAAGTCAGTTCTATTGTCAAGGCAGAGGAAGGGGAAAAATTCTGAAATTCAGCAACTAACAAAAGTCATATTGGGAATGCTGGGAGTTAATACCTTCTGTCATCTTCCTAAAGTAGTAAAGGGATATTATTATCCTCTAATTAACTTGTTTATCACAACTTCGTTATCTGTAACATTGTCTCATTGAATCTTGATTAGCCAGTACTTAACTAAATGCTTCTGCCTTCTGCTGCCAAATTTATCATTAGATTAACTTAGCTAAATCAGTGAGGTGATACCTTTCCATCTGTAAGAGCTAATTCCTGGCAAGGAGATTCTACTAGTAGCATCTTTTTTTTTTTAGGTGTAGATAGGTAGATATATAGATAGATAGGATGAGATCTAGAGGTTTAGGGGTGCTGGGACCCCAAGATCATGACACGCAAGTCCTGCCCAAAAGAATTCGACCCAAGCCTTCTTTCAGCCAAAGACAAGGTTTATTAAAGATCTGTCATATTAGCCAGACTCTTGAGGAATCTGAGAGTCTGTGACATATTGGCTAGATTCTAAGAATCTGAGCAGTGGCTAGATATTAGGAAACTAAGCAGTGGTTATGTTGAGGGTTGAGAGGTTGAGAGATTGTGACCCCTCAAAGACTGGAGTACAGGACGGGCCATCTGGAAGGAATTCACAGACTCAAGCATTCTTTAATTCAAGGTGGCAAAGATTTATTGTTAAGCTTTTCAGCGGGCAAGGATTCTTAAAGGATCCTGCAACCTTAGAGAGGTACAGATAAAGTTTATATAGGATAAAATGCAATAAAACATATGTCAAATATGCTAACTAGGGGATTCAAGGTGGGATTAGGGAGTGGTTAAGGAGTGGTCAATTCTCAATTGAAACTCAAGATAAGAAAAGTCCCATTATTCAAGAGAGTATCTGGTCCCAGACATCCTGGGCCCAGTGATAACAAACAGGAAGAATACTGATCAGCTCTATCTGGTCCTGGAATTTGCTGACACAGGAAGGGTTGTTTAATTTAGGTGTTTTGGCCCTTATTGGGGCTCAATTGACTATCAAGGGACAGTGTTTCTGAGGCTAGGGAGAAACTGGGGCCCAAGTACAAGCACCCAAACATAAGCACCCAAGCACCCCAACAGTTAGATTTTAAGAATTAAGAATCTAAGGACCTTAATGGAGATAGGATGGACCTTATATACAGAAAGACTGTGGTAGGGATCTAGGAGTGGCCAAGTAGTTTGGAGTGACAGGAGGAGGGGTCTAAGGAAGATCTGGATGGGAGTAGCCAGTAAACTGGGGTCAACAGAACTCCTGGGTCCTGGACCATATGGCCAAGGGAGAAAGGAGCCTAGTTAAGATTAAGGGTGGGAAATGGCCAGGGGCCATAGGGAAGTAGATTGGGTGTAGCCACAAAGAAAGGCCAGTTGATAGGATTATCTGGCAAAAGCCAGAGATTTGACCATGTGGATAAGTCCAGGGTTTTTCCTTTCTGAGGTCCAGATCCCAACCCCATCAGATAGATAGATAGATAGAGTGCTTGCTATGTGCCAACCTCTGTGCAAAGCACTGGAGATTAAAAAAAAAGTGAAAGATCATCCCTGACCTCAAAGAGCTTTCAATCTAATGATAGACAGATAGATGATAGATAGATAGATAGATAGATAGATAGATAGATAGATAGATAGATAGATAGATGATAAATGGATTTGAAAAAAAACAACTATTCTCAAGATAATTTTATGTTTGGGTTTTTTTCCCCCTCTTCCTTTTGATTTTTTTTCCCATTCAAATATAGCAATTCCACATTGATTTTATGGCTTTCATTTCTTAGTTAAGAACAGGTGACTCAGCAGCTCTTGTATTAATCTGATTTGAAATAGGTAAGATGGTAACATCGATAAAATATGTTTGTGAGGTAAGTTGTATTTTTTTTTCCAACCCATCAGAGATAGCTTTAAGAAACCATAAATTGTCTTACTATAGCAAGGTTAGAATTAAAAGGCATCAAAAAAAAAATCTGTCAGGAAGCAGTTGAATTTATTCTCCCTTTCCTCAGTGTGCACCTTTTCCAGAGAGTAGAATTATTTTTTAAGAACTAGATGGAACATATTCTCTAAAAATAAGTTGGAGAGTGTTGTTACTGAAGGATGAGTGGAAGCCTCCAGACTCTAAGCATACAACTATGACAACCTTTGGAAAATTAATCAGCACAGTTGGAAGTGGGAAAATTTGATTTGGAGTCCTCTGCCAATTCTTAGTTATGTGACATTGGGCATATCACTTAACCTCACTTGAATCTTTATTTGCCTATCTGAAAAAGGAGAGTGAATTTTCGGTATTCATTCATATCAGACTCTCCATGACCCCATTTAAGGTTTTCTTGGCAAAGATACTGAAGTAGCTTGCCACTTCCTTCCCTAGCTCATTTAGACATGAACTGAGGCAAAAAGGTTAATTGAGTTGCCCAGGGTCACATAGCTACTGTCTGAGGCCAGATTTGAAATCACAAAGATGAGTCTTCCTTTTTCCAAGCTCAGTGTTCTATCCGCTGTAACACCTAGCTGCCCCTATGAAATAAATTTCATCTAAAATTCCTGTTCCTTCCCCTTCTAAGTCCATAAACCTGTGGTCTTTCTGTTAGGTTCATATAGATGCATATGTATGGTCTGGCCTTTTGAAAGAAAGTATATGTTGACTGCAGGTAGACATTCCTGCATTAGTAGTCCTTCCTGACTAAATTAATTGCAGGAGCATCACATGCACAGTGTGATCTTGGCACTGTGCTGCGCACACAGCAGGCCCTTTGTAAATGCTTGTTGTAACAATTGTTATTAAGTGCTGCTAATTATTTTCCATTCATATTCTTCTCTCCTGTGTTCTTATGAATATTTCCTGCATTCTTCCTTTTTAGCCAATTAAAATTGAAACTCCCTGAGGATTGTAAATTTAGAATTGTAAGGAAATTGTAAAAAAAAAATAGAATTGTGATTTTTTTTTTTTAGACAATTGGGGTTAAGACTTGCCCAGGGTCACACAGCTAGTAAGTGTCAAGTGTTTAGTCAGAGATTTGAACTCAGGTCCTCCTGACTTCAGGGCTGGTGCTCTATCCACTGTGCCACCTAGCTGCCCTAGAATTGTAGATTCTAAAATTAGAAGTTACTAAGTCATGGCCTGGGATTTTACAGATGAACAAACTGAGACCCTTGGCTAAGGTCAAACACATAGTAAAGTATTGTATGGGCTCAAACCCATGTCCTCTGGCTCCAGATTCAGGGCTTTTCCCATTGCCTCCAGCTGCCCGCCTGCTTCCTCCTTTCCTTTGTTCCTCAAGAATGCAGCATATGATACCCGTAGTATCTTCTCAATAAAAGCTAGCTCATTCATGAAAAACTCATTTGAAAATCAAAACAAATAAAAATAAAATACAATTGTATACAATTTGAGTTGTTGTTGCATTCATATTCTAAAACATGTAGTCCTCTTCCTCTGACAGTGCCATCAATAAAAAGATATGGATAGAGGTTGAAAGATAAAGATGTAGGTACAAGAGTGTGCTGGTAAAATGTTTAACTACAGCATCTCACAAAACTTAAGACACCCTTTTTAAGTTTATTCTAGATTATGAACATTTTCTCCCTCACTTTCATAAATCTGTAAGGTCAACAATTAATCAAGCTGTCAGTTGTAGCTGATATCCGATGTGTAAATGCTTATACTGAAAGTTTAATAATTACCTCTTTGGGGCCTTTTCAAGTTGGTTCCAGCACACTCCTTTATGCATACAAACGTACATATGTATATGCATATTATCTCAACCCTAACTCGACTTTAATATATCAACTTCTGCATTTCTGTATTTTGTGTATCTTTGAACAAAAATTAAGATACTGGTGGGATTACCCAAACAATGAGATAATGGTCACTTCAAGCCTTTCTAAAAACTTCAAGATACATTTTTCGTGTATTCATTCCTTCAAAACTTTATTGAACACTTATTATTTTATGTACAATGTAATAGAACATGCAAAGCATTTCAGTTTGCTTAGGTAATGAGGGGAAAAACATGTATACCCTGTATTCCTGGAAGCTAAATATATTCCCAATCACATGAACTACCTAAAGTAATTAACTTTCATTTACAGGCAGGTTTCTGAGTAGAGAATATGGGTTTCCAAATGCCTTGGAATGTGTTAAAGCTCACTGTTCTCAGTCAAGCAGAAACCTCTTCTGACTCTTGGTGGAAAAGTCTTATCAGTCAGCTTAAGAAACAAATTGAGGAATATTCAGTAAAGTAAAAGTTTACCCACCTAGTTTAAGGTCCCTAGTCTCCAAAGTTACCTAGATGACTTTGACATAGACAGCTGATAAACAGAAACATGGACAGATAAACATTTATGTGGTGATTTCTATATGCCAGGTACAGTGCTAAGCCCTGGGGATGAAAATATAAGCATCTAAGACAGTACTATGTTCAAAGAACTTACAAATTGAATCACAAAGACAACATATATAGGGGTGGCAGAAAGGGGAGAGGGAAGCTGGGGTCCTTCCCAAAGTGATGGTGGTGAGGGGTACTACCAATGAATACAGGAGGAACTCAGGGTGAAAGTTCCCCAGAAGAGTAATGCAGCAGACAAGGAGAAGGGGGTGGGCTTTGGGGAGAATCAAGACAAAACTAGTTATAAGAATAGTAAAACTGAGGGGCAGCTAGATGGCATAGTGGATAGGACTCCAGCCTTAGAGTCAGGAGGACCTGAGTTCAAATTGGACCTCAGACACTTGACACTTATGAGCTGTGTAACCCTGGGCAAGTTACTTAACCCTAATTGCCTCAACAAAAAGCAAAACAAACAAACAAAAAGGAACAATAAAACCAGAAAGGGGGAAGATGGGGAGAGTAGTGGGCAAATGCTTGTGCATATATATATTTTAGATAAGGAATTTTATGCTTTCACAAATTCATAGCTCATGCTCATGCCTACAATGTACAAGCCATGTGCTGGGTGTTTCAGAGGATAGTTTACAATCTAGAAAAGGACCTAGGGACAGGTGGGGGGGAGAAGCCACAGTAGGGCTTTCCACCGTCTATGTGTCTATTCTCTTATGTACCCCAGGTTTTTGCTGATTTCCTAAGTTACAAAGGGGAAAAGATGTCTTAAACATGCAATTACACTCTATGCTGACTCCAGTGATTTGATTCTGCTGCTTTGACTCAAGACAATTTGATTCTCTTGTTTTGACACTGTGGACTATTCAGTCCCAAGGATCTAGGGGTAATAATATGTACCTGGCTTTGTGATTATTGCTGGGTTTTTGTTGCTGTTGTTTTACTATGATTTTTATTATTATTATTACTTTTTATCATCTTGACTTGTGATTTTATCAGTGTGTAAAACATCTCATTGTAAACTTCCTCCAGTAATATTGATTTTTAACCTCTCTGTAATTTATAGTCTTGGAGAGTGACCTGGGAGGGGGGTGACTGAGATGTTAAGTGACTTGCTTAGGGTCACATTACATGTCAGAGGCATGACTTGAACTTAGTGAAAGAGCTGTGTTCCTGACTCCAAGGAAGACTCTCTATTTGTTATGTCATAGAGCCCCTTAATGGACAATATTCTCCATTAAATGTGTCATTTGACTATTTAAATTTGACTTATTTCTCTCTATATCCAAGTCTATTTTTATTTTATTATTAATTTTATACAGACCATTAGTTTTTGCTATTGTTTATTCTTCTGCTGATATGTATGGAGATATGTCATTATTTAAGAAGGCAATATTTTTTCTAGTGGATTTGATATGTTTTTCTTTTAAATGTTCTAAGTTCCCACATTTGCCTCATTCCCCCAGTTTCATCAGTCCCTTCAGCTTCTGAGGTTAAATAACAGATTCAAATCTATGGAATCAAAATACATTAGATTCCCTATTTATTTACTATATCCTGACCTATTTCTACAAATTATCTTTATTTTCTTCCCCTACTATAGAACAAGAGAGTTATAGAATGTTTGAATTGAAGGGTTGCTGGTCCACTGATATGGACTTAGGATCTTATATCAAGAGCTGAAAGGGCTTTACCATTCCTCTAGTTCAGCCATCTTATTTTGCAGATGACAAATTAAAGCTCAGAAAATCATAAATGATTTGCCCATGATCATATAGGTTTGAAGAAGCTCAGAGGCAGTTAGGTGATCAGTGAATAGAGTTCTAGGCCTGGAGTCAGGAAGACCTGAGTTCAAATCCAGCCTCAGACAGATACTAGCTCTTGGACACTGGACAAATCGCTTAATTTCTGTCTGCCTCATTTTCCTCAAATATAAAATGGGGGTAATAATAACACCTACCTCTCAGGGTTGTTGTGAGAATCAAATGAGATAATATTTTTAAAGTGCTTAGCACAGTACCTGACACATAGTAGGCACTTGGCATAATAGTTGTTTCCTTCCTTCCTTTCTTTCTGAAGCTTCTTCACAAAATAAGATTTTGTGTGATTGCCATTCAGTGCATTTCTGGGTCCGATTTTGATGTTTTACAATCTCCTCCTCCTCTCTCCAGTTTGGTTAGGCTTCTTGTCCATCTTCTCTGCCCTTTTGTTGTTCTTTCAGCACCTGCCAGTGAGAAGTTGGCTGGAAATTATCTTACAAAGTGGGATAATTATCTTGAAATTATCCTTGTCACTCAAAATTAAGCAATTTCCTTTCCCCACTGCTTTGGGCAGTATTACCGCTTAGAGCAGTCATGATAAACTTGGGCAAGAGATCATTAGAAGTATTTCACTTACTTTGAATAGACTTATACTTCTTATATAGCTATTTTAATTTAAGTTTAAATTAGTACCATTTATTTTTTTTTCCTTGTGTAAGTTAAAGCACGATTAAAATACCTTCAGCATTTTGAAGCTTTTAGTCTTAGCTAGTTCTCTGAGGAAAAGCCAGGGCTCCCCATCACAAAGTTTTCCACCCTTCTTTTGGACTGTTACAAATGACTATGTCAGAACCTTCTCAAGTACAGTAATCTGACTGAAAATTATAAGGTTTGCTATCAAAGAAGGAAGAGTCATAATTCTACAACCAAGAAATCTGTTCCGATAGAATCAGCCTACAAATAAGTTTTAGCTAACTATGTCTTTATTTTGATATAGAAGATAATGATAGTGATTATTATTTGTACCATTTTATTAGAGACGCCTTTGAGTATCAGGTAACTGATTTGTTTGACAGTTGACATGGCATGTTTAAATCACAGAAAAGTTGGCATATTGGCTGTGAGGTAATCATGCAGCCGGAGTCAGGTTTGGCACGTTGGATTTTACTGATACTGCTAGTTATATAAGATGAAATAATGTTTTTCCCACCTCATCACTTATGATTATAGGGCCTAGCCAGCGCAGCCAATGTAGGGTAGCAGTGAAATACATCCTACTAGCCTTCCTGAAACGAAGATCTTAGCAGTGTGGTATTTGTAACTTTTTGAAATGAATACCTACTCGTATTGCAGGGGATAACAGTAGGGAGGATGGTGAGAAAAAAGAAAATGGGAATAAGATTTCTTATTTGGTGTGAAAAGAAGTCAGACTCAATCCTATGCTGTTATTCTAAGGCAGGTACTCTTAACCTTTTTTTGTGTCATGGACCCCTTCTCTGAGTATGTGATCATAAAGGAAATCAGTTATACTCAATGACAGTTATCAACTTTTCCACCTGAAAACAAGTTCAAGACTGTGAGATTAAGGACCCCTGCTCTACAGGGAAGAAAATTGGTTCCATTAAAATATGAGCTCCTTGAGGGGAGGGACTATGTTTTTGCCTTTCTTTGTATCCCCAGCACTTATGACAGTGCCTGGCACATAGTAAGAGCTTGATAAATGTTTGTGGATTAATTGACAGATTAGTGGGGAAAAAATCCCAAAGCTCTGACTAGCTTTTTTTCATTCTTAGCGAAAGCTTCATAAGTTGTGATCAGGAAAAAGAGAACAAAAACTGCTCCAAAAACAACATGTAAAGAGAACATGAGCCTAGTGGAAGGAAGGAGACAGAGACCCTGGGATGTAGGGAGGGTGGGCTGCAGGATAGCTCACCCAGACATAAAAGATAGAGAGGAGGAATCCTTTGCTAATTGTTAGCTTTTTCTTTGAGCTAATCTTGCTGAGTACAGATCTTGGTTATTTCTACAGTGTTGAAGGAGAGTAATTGTTGTCAGCACCCTGAGATCAAGACCTGGTCACCCTTCGTTATAGTTCTAATGTCCCCATGAATGATGTTCATTTTCTGTTTTCCTTACAGCGGTTAGTGAAGGACCAGCGCCCCAGCAACCTCCCATGTTGCCCCAGACACAGCCTGAGCACTCCAGCAGTGAGGAGGCTCCGAGTAGGACCATCCCCACAGCCTGTGTTCGACCCACTCATCCACTCCGCAGCTTTGCCAACCCCTTGCTACCTCCTCCAATGAGTGCAATAGAACCAAAAGTCCCTTACACACCACTTTTGTCTCAGACAGGTAAGTGCCATGTTTGGACATGCTGAAACATGTGGAGGTATCATCAGTCTTCCCACTTGAAGGTCCTGTTATTGGTGGTGGTATTACCCATGTAGACAAGCACCAGAGAAAAGAGAACATGTGATGTGTTCTTTCTATCTATATCAATGTTCCCTGTATTTGTAGCCAATATTTGTGGAGTTGATTTTAAATATCTCTTTGGTAGTTGCAGTGGATTTCATTCCCTTGTGAAATTGCCCGCTGATCTTCTGTCTTTTAGTTAATATTTCAGGCTGTCTGTTTGTTGGGAAGTATTCTCAAGATATGCTCACCAGAGACTCCACAACCCCACAGCATCCAGACAAGTGTTGAGTCTGAAGAGGTTAGCAAGAGGACTGGCATAAAGAAAGGGTATCATGCAAGAGTGAGAACCTAGGGACTGGATAAGTGATTATAGAGCTAAAGATATATATTTTCTTAAATCTGTGAAAATTGCCTTTCCGGTTCCTACTGTTGTTTTACATTTTGTCATTTTACAGATATTACTATCAAACAGATAAATTAGTTTCCTCATTGCTGATAGGAAGGTTTTATTTGTTTCTTTCTTTTCTTCTTTCCTTCCTTCCTTTCTTTCTTAAGTAAAGTCCTCTAAAAGATGCATGGGGAATTGAATTGGGCTAGTCCTCAAGAAATACGGTGAATGGAACATGAGTCCATACAATTAACTAAAACCTATTTAACGTGTCTGAGTGGCAGTATTGGTCTTTCCAATGCTTTACCACAAAATTATGCCTTGGCAATTCCCCCTTATTGACAACTGTGCCTAAGGCATTGTCAGTCACTCCCATACATCAGACTGTAGTATAATCAATACATATATGAGATGTAAGACTGAGCTATATTCTTCAGAAATCATCTCTGTATTTAACAAATGTTTCTAAAGTAATTGGAGATTCCAGTCTCTAATAGAAAGTGGAAAAGAGTGTAAGAAGATGTGATGTGAGAGACTCTAATGCCTGAGATTTCACACTGTTCCTGGGTTTGTGCTAGGTAGAGGACCCTAAACTAATAGCATGCACCTCAACACACACTATGGCTGGACAACCTGCCATGCCAATTAAAGAATCATCTTATCAGCTGTTTTCCTCACTAAACCCATCCTTGCTTCACCTTTCAAGATTATTAAATATCTCTTTTACTCTGTCCTTACCCCCAATTCCATTTAAATATTCAGAAGCCTCTATTTTGTTTTTCCTGGAGTGGAGACACTTTTTTTCCTGAGACCCTGAACTAATGTGGGAAGGGTGAAGTTGATGATGAAATTAGGGAATACTGGAAAGGCTTGCCAGGGAGTCTTGTTCATGCCTTCTTCCCTGTCTTAAATATCTGTGGACCATCAGAAGTTTAAGTATGGTGGAAGCTAATATCCTAAAATTATCTGGTCAAGCAATGTAAACCAATAAGTAAAACCAAAAACAATTACATTTTTTCCTCTATTCAATCTGACATTATAAAGCTTTTATAACCAAATTCTTTTAAAACATTCTTTTAATTTCCAAATTCATGTTTCCTTTATTTAATAACACTCACTATATGCACCAAAATCTATTTTCAATTTGCTATGGAAAATGTACTTACATTCTTCAGCTTGACTACAGAGAGACTAACCAGGGGCAATGTATAAAAGTGGAAAAGAGGTGTTCGTAGGTTTTATGTCAGGAAAAACTTTTGAACAATTAGAGTGATCCAAACATGGAATGCGCTGTCTGAAGAAAGACTAGGCTCCCGAATGGACATTATAGAGGAAGACATGAGTTGGATAAGATGACCTCTGAGGTCCTTTCCAATAAAGATTCTATGATTCTTGATTTAGGTAATATTTTGTGCAGATAAAATATAAAATAGGCAATGGGAATGGGATTCTGGAAAACTAAGACTCATTTTTTACTAGGGATTTGATTCTGGTTATTCAACATATTGTTCTTATAACACAACATATAAAGGCCAACTTCCAGCGTTAACAATGTCATCAAAAAGGCTTTGAGAAGGAACACCCGTCATCGATTCACCATTAATTAGAGCTGTTGGTGACAGGATGAGAGAGGTAGCAGCATTTACTACCTTTGAGGGTTCTTCCCTTCAGTTTTAGTAACATCAGATTTCCTATTGAAAAGTCTATCACTATGCTTGCTGAAACTATTTTCATCTTAGACTTCACATTAAAGAAATATGTAATTAGTAATACATTTATGATTACTACATTTTGCTAACTTAGTGGAAATGCAGTCAAAACTGTTGTTCCCAAGAGTATTTTTTACTTAAAGAACTGGTATCCCAACCAAAAATGTAAACAAGGCTTGTAGATATTATTCAATCTTCTCCCATTAGACTCTCATGAGGTTTTCTTTTCTCTTCCCCCCCCCCATTTTTCTCTTTTGATTTCAGTCTTGTGTGTTTGATATGTTCTTTGTCACATTTTTGCTTTACTCACCTCGCAGGATTGTTAGGAGGATCAAAAGAGATAATGTATGTAAAGTGCTTTTTAAACCCTAAATTGCTGTACACATGTCAACCATCATCATCATTATCATTAGAATTGCTTTTTCTAATTTTTTTTAGTACCTTCTCTTTTTAACTTGAGTTTTTTATTGTATTTTATATTTCTTTTAACTTCTCTCTTCAATTGTTTTCCCCTCTGTCTAATAACATCCTTGATTCTCCTCTCAGGATTATTAAATGTCTCTTGTTCTCTGTCTTCACCCCCAATTCCATTGTTTCAATGTGATTCCTGTTCATTTTATAATGTCTCACTTCATGATTTCCAAATAGCATCTTCCTCTGTGTGTCTCTGACACATGGTAAATAGTATGCTTTTAAGGGAGGGCTGCTGTTTTTTTTTTCTCATGGGAAAAGAAAATTAGCAGACTGACAAATGTATTAGCAATGACACTAACTACAGACTTCCTAGCCTTGAAGATGAAATACTTGAAGCTTTCAGCAAATTTCAATTCTAAGAAAATCATGACTGTAGTCAAATTGATTGATGAAGAAGAGTTATTCTCCAGTAGACATTTAAAATATTGTAAATAATTTTAATATAACAATAGAGAAATACATAATTATTAATAGTTATCATTATTTGCCGTAAACCATTGCTTTAGAAAATAATATAAGTCAGTTAATTTATAAAGCATATGCCGAATGAGTTTTTATTTTTTTCCTTCATTTTCAAAGCATAAAAACTGGGATCAATGCTTAAGACATTTAGTTATCTACCCGTTTGGCTGTTTGATCTTGAACAAGTTTTCAATTTTTTTTGTTTTTTTCAAATTTTCAAGGCTTCAGTTTCCTTTTTTATCTCAATCTGTGATTTCATAGGTATAGCAAAAACTTCTCTCCACTGATACAAATCTGAGACTCACATATAACCTATACCATATTCTTAGAGCATTTTTTGGTGCACTGAGAAGTTAAGTGATTTGCCCAGAATCACACAGCTAGCATGCATCTAGAGCAAGAATTCAGGAACTGAACCCAAATGGATGCAGTGTTGTACAGTAAAAACAGCATTATCTCTGAAGTCGATGACCTGGGTTTAAATACTGCTTTTGATGCTTACTACATGTGTGCCTAAGGCAGGTTACTTTACCTCTTTGGGCTTAGTTTCCCCCAGTACAGTGAAGAGGTTGAATTAGATAACCTGTAATAACCCTTCTCATTCTAAATCTGTGCTCTCTCTGACTTCAAGGTTGGCACTGTAGATAGTTTGTTTATTAGGAGTTTGGAAGAACCTTTAAGGTTCCTTCTATCTCTGAAATTCTCAGGCCCCCCCCCCCAAACTCGTAACTTTCTGAGGCACTTTATTTCTCCTCTCATAAAAGGTATGTGGTGTCATGTACTCTGTTTTGGTGGTACGTAAGACAGAGCTTGTTAAGGGAAGGAAAGAGGATTTACTGTCATCAATGGAAAGCATTGTGCAACTATGATCTGGTCAGCAATAATTAGGAAATCAATTTGCTGTCATTGTGACTGGCATTCACCCTACCTGAAAGCCTACCCTCACTCTCTCCTTCCCCCCCCCCCCCCCCCCCCCCCCGCTGAGCTAGAGTATTTAGCTTAACTGACTCCTAGGTGTTTTATGGTGCTTCTAACAATTTCATCAGTATCCTGTGATAGAGTACTCCTGTTCTCTAAAGCTTAATCTGAAGACGAGAAGAACCAGGCAATCTTTCCTTTACGTGTTCCATTGTGACTGCAGTCACATCACTTTGCAAATCACAGACACAGACATATAAGTGATTTGGCTTAGTCCCCTTTCAGGTTAAATAGAAAATGTTTGATGGAATGTTGGGCTTATTGCATTATAGATCTGACATAAATTCCACAAAGGGCCAAGAAAGGGGATTTTTTTTCCCTTCCCCAGCGAAAATTCCTTTTAGCTGTTGAAATGATCAGCTGCACTTTAAATGAACCTGGATTAGGAGGCCATTTGTCTTCGGAAGCAGTAAGTTTAAGGGGAAAGAAAATGTGACCCTTTTAATAGTGGCTTTTATATTGTAGCCCAGGTTTATAACTTGAGCCCCTTCAAGCCCCTGCATCTTTGTAAGGATGCTTAAGTGCTGTCTTTCCCTCCATTTATATATTTCTTTTCTATATATGTATTTAAAAAAATAAAAACCCAGACCATTCCCATCTTTTCAATCTTCCAAGGATCAATATGTCAGTGGACATGACAGGCCCCAGACTCACTTCATTGTACTGCGAAATTGAGTTTGATTTTTCCCCCTACAAATTGTGGCTTGTGATCCAATTTGTCTGAGGAGTGAGTATGTGGGGAGGGAGGCAGCCGCTGACAGTGGACAGCAACAGCTTCTGATTTATGTTTTATGGCTAGTTGGGAAGTCATGTATTCCTGCTGTAACCTGATCTTTTTGGCAGGCCTCATTTCGGTAAATATGCTTTCATAAAAAACTGCCCATAAATTACTACATTACATTAGTCCAAGTGCCTTTTCCCAGCCA